TATTAAGTTCGTTCTTGTTTTTTCATATTTATGTATATATTTTTATATCTTCGTATTTAGTCTTGTTTTTCATGTTAATTTATATTAATTTATTTTATCTTTTTACTATGTGATTAAAGAAATTTTTAATGTTTGACTCTTAATTTGTCTTTTTAGTTTCTACTTATATTGTAATTTTATACTCTTCAATAATCATTTACATATATGACTACAATATTAAAGACAACATTGTTAATTTACACACAACCATATTCACATTAAGCAATTCAACTTATTGTTATTATATTATAAAGTGTTCCAGGAAGTACAATGAATTGTAATTAATCAGATGGTTACTTTGATAAGGTTCCGAATTAGAATCAAAACGTATGTAAATTGCTACAATAAACACACTTATTACTTCACACCAACACCAAGTGAAATGACTCGATTAGGCATTCTTATTACCATCTATCAAAGTTGCACTTAGAAAAGCAAAAAATGGAATGAGAAGGCTTGAAAAGGCATGGCAAAGCATTTATGTTTCCGTGCACAAATATTGTCAATAATAAAAATCTATGTAACGTAAACTTTAGATTTTTTATATTGCCACTTGTCAGTGTAAATCAGAACATGATCAAAGAAACACGTAATGTTGCCGTACCCGCACTAACTAACAGAACTCGTACACTGAACTGACTAGACGTTACGTACATTTTTTTAGTATTATATAATATATGTATGCACAGCGACACAAAGGCCTAGCTATGTCTTCTCATTCCTTTGCTTTCTCCAATACGTGTGTAACTTCGGATAACCAGGCATTTCTGTCCCCATCGTCGGAGTATAGATCATGGAATCACGAATGCACTACAAACTACATAAACGTATAAAATCACTTGTAGCGTTTTCGATCGTGGAATTGGATTGATTTGAGATCGACCCGAAAATACTATGATCTCGTGAAACGCGGTAAGCGATGTAACGCTGATGTCCAGTGTACAGAGGCACGAAAACCATAACCTCGCAATCGCGCCAGCTGTCAGCTGACGACGGCGGATGGCCGTGTCTCCCCTCCCCCTTTATCGACATTACCATTATTGCGATTATTGATCACAGCACACTCTGGATAAATATTCGGCAATTATTTGGGTGCTCTAAACTGCTGTACATCGTCGATATTTCACGTCCTATACACACAATTTCGTTCCTGACTAACCACTCTTTATTTAGGCGTCTAAACATAATTTGGAAGGTACGCCTGTAATCGTTCATTTATTCTACACATGTGCCTGCCCTTATTTCGAGCATATAACCTGTGTAACTTTTTTGCCAAGTAAATGTTGTAATGAGCTAACTGCATGCTGAGATAACAATGGGTATAGATTTCTGTAATTTTTTGCTTTTTCCAGCTTTGAACACAAAAGATACCAGGCACACGTACATTAGTTCGGAAATTTTAATCGTGGAGAAGGAATTTTTATTCTGTGAAACTACTGCGAAGTGGTTAGACAGGAACGAAAACGCTAGCTATATCGGTAAAAAAGTCCAGCATCCCCTTAAGAATGACAAAGCTATGGTAGACTGTGTATCAGAATTAGTATCATTAGTGAAATTGATATTAACAATACCTTCATCGACGTGTACAGCTGAAAGGTCGTTTTCGGCATTGCGTAGATTAAAAACTACTTAAATTCCACGATGTTACAACAAAGAATGAATAGCATAGCTATATTACATGTACATAGGGAAATCGCGGAAAAAATCGATATCGATAAACTTTTAAACGATTTTATATCGAAAAATAAGAATCGTCTTTCTACTTTTTCAATGTTAAATGAACAAAACGAATAAATTATTTTTTGTATTTTAATATAAATGATATAATCTGCTCTATACTCTTAACTGAAAAAACCCTGCCTCCCCCCCTCCCATTCACGAGAAAGTCCACACCCTCAGCGAAGACAAGTCGCCGGCCCTGAGTTCCGTGTACCCGAGATTATCGGATCTCACAATAAATGGCTGAATTTATCAACTTTTAAATAGTCTTAATTTAGTTTTATTGTTTAAATTATATTATATAAATATGTTTTTATATTCTACGTACCCTATGAAGGAAGATATCTCGATGTGAAGTTCAAATATCTAAAATTTTGACATTGACATTAAGATACATCATCATCACCCTCGGAAATGTTGTCCGTTTCACGTTTTAAACAACAGACGGCGCTTGTCGGAAATGTTGTCCGTTCCACGTTTTAAACGACAGACGGCGCTTGCTAGCATATTTTATTTTATATCGATTAGCTGTCAACGTAATGACATTAGATAGATAAAAATCAGCGATGGCACAAAGGAGGATTTTTATATCCTATTAAAGCAGTCAATGTCTTGAAAGCTCACGGAAAAAGTGTTCGAGAGTCGATTTTGGTTCTAGGCTATGCTTTTAACTGTACTGTCGCCTCTCAAGCAATGTCGAAGGGGATAACGAATGCGAAAATCGTATGCTAAAGCTACAGGTGCGCAATTTCAAACTTCGCTAACCAACATGGAAGGAGAGGAGAGTTTTGATGCCAGTTTTATATAAATTCTCACGGAATTATAATTAGCACCTAAGATACAGCTCGATCGTTAAAGGCATTTTATTGGTTGTGTTTCTCACGATCCTATAAAATATTTAAATATTGTTTCTTTTTTATTTTAAGGCCAAAGGCACGCATAGCGAGCTCTATTATTTTACGCAGACCAAACAATTATTACTGTGACGAAATGGAATGTTCCATACATGACGCAGGAAGAGGTCTTTTTCTTTTTTCTATTTTTTTCTTTTATATTTTATATGTATATAGATTTATAAGAAATATTTAACATTACAAAATGCCTGATATCTCAACAAAATTACCTTTTTAAAAAAAGGAAAAAAAGGCGCCAAGTGTGCAAAAATAAAATGAAAAAATGAAATGAAACAAAAATGAAATGAAATTTTTTTAGATTGCGCCAAATTGTGGAAGGAATATATTTTCTTGTCATATATATTAACATATACTTTATTTCAAAAAGTAAAAGTACAAAAAACTTGGCGCTGCTAGACCTCAAAATATATATAATAATAAGATGGTTATTAAATAATTCCGAATATGAAAAATAATAAGGTCTAGCACCGCCAAGTTTTTTGTACTTTTATTTTTTGAAATAAAATATACATTTTACTTTTATTCGTATTCATTTTGGTCATAATGTATGTTGTACATACTTAATTTTATATTTGTGACTCGTTAATTATTCAATTATACACATTTAATTTTATATTTGTGACACGTTAATTTTATTATAATTATACACATGTAATTTTTATTATTGTTGATTCGTTAATTCTATTATACACACTTAATTTTAAGTTGAAAATGACCCGATCGGTGTCGAAACGTATGTGCGAATTCTTACTTGCGAATTTTACTCTGTTTGTATATATTGTGTTTGTAATGTATTGCGATTTTGAGTTAATTTATATATCTTTTTTAAAAAAATTATTGGCTCTTTTCTCTTATTTTTAATCAATTTAAAATATATGTTATATATATGGCAAAAAAATATATTTCTTCCACAATTTGGCGCAATTTAAAAAGATTTGGTAATTGTTCACTTTAGGGGAGCCACCTCCAACGACCTTGACCTTGACATATGTTGTCAAGGTCATGACCCTGAGTAACCTCAAACAAGTTTTAGCCGTCGCTCGCCCTTCGTTAAAAAGTTATGATCAAAAAAAGTTTGAAAAATTACGTTTTATTTCTATTATACAGCGTGACTTCCAAGCGAAGTATTGATGTATTTTTTGATATAATGGCTCGTTTTTACTCACCATATCGCGATCAATGAATAATTTATTTAATAGTAATAAAATATATAATTATGAATACTTCTGAATTATTTCTGCAATACATGTATAATGTTAAGTACTATTCTACACCTTTCCGTATTCAGAAACGTTAAACTTTTCACGCGAAGTAACTTTCCCCCCCCCCCCCCTGCACAGAGGCACACGACTTCTACGATTGTACTGTTGCGTTGCTATGATAGTACTGTCGGGGCAGACCTCTGTGACGGTGTCGGTGCGGGGGGGGGTGGCCGAAGGCCATTACTTATATATATATAATAACATACATGTATTATATATCATATGTTAATTTTAAAACTATGATTGTTAATAACTTTTTAACGAAGGGCGAGCGACGGCTAAAACTTGTTGGAGGTTACTCAGGGTCATGACCTTGACAACATATGTCAAGGTCAAGGTCATTGGAAGTGGCTCCCCTAAAGTGAACAATTACCAAAGATTTTATTTCATTTTTGTTTCATTTCATTTTTGCACACTTGGCGCCTTTTTTCCTTTTTTTAAAAAGGTAATTTTGTTGAGATAAACTATCAACATGGAGCATAACTTAAGGATATTTGAGAATCGCACGCATCAAACATCAATTTTACATTTGTCGAGAAATTCAATAATGATTTTTAATTCGGAAATTTTCATTTTTTTTAAATTTCTCTGATATTAATAGGCGATTTTATTTTTAACTTGCTAAATTTATTTACCATTACTTTTCTTTTCTCGCTGAATTTATCGCATTCCCATAAAACGTGATTCTCGTTTTTGATAAAACCGCAAGAACATAAATCGCTGTTAATAATTTTAAACCTAAATAAACTGCTTTTTAACGAATTGTGCTCGCTTCGCAGTCTATAGATAGTTATAATGTCCTTCCTGTTAAAGTTAGTATAGTATTGGAAAACCACGGTTTAGTAGACGACTTATGAAAATTTTCAAAAAATACAGTTCCTTTGTTTAAAGTGATAGCTCTCTGATACAAGAAGTCTTCGCTCTCTTTGATATAAAGAGATTTAAATATGCTATCAACGTCAGAATGTGGAACATCACTTCCCAGCATAGGACTCTCGATAGCAGCTTTCTTAGCTAAGGAATCAGCATTTTCGTTATCTAAAATATTTTTGTGGGCCGGAATCCACACTAATTCTATGTCTTTTTGTTTGAGTTTACAGTTGATCAACGCTTGATTAATCTCTTGGATCACATGTGTTTGATGCTTTAATTTGTAAATATTCCGTAAAGCTTTCAGGACACTCATTGAGTCGGAGAAAATAGTAAACTTGGAAAGATCAGACTTACCTATTTCAAACAAGACAGTAAAGCAGACACAATAGCAATAGATTCTGCTGTGTATATGGAAGTAACATCAAAAAGTTTAAAACCAGAAACGAAATCACAATCTGAACTCCAGTAAGCAGCATCCACAAAAAACCCGTTATCGACATTCATTCTGAAGCCGTCGGAAAAAATTGACGTACGATTAGTTAATATGTCACCGAACACTTGTGAAAATACGAAGTTCGCGTTATTCACTTCCTTGAGTAAAACACCGCTTTCAAGGTCTATATTTATTTGATCACACTGATTTTTATAGTCCATTAGATAAAACTGAGGAATATGAGATTTATAAATGAAATTCGAATAAGGACTAACTATCTCAAATGAACTAACCAATGCGAGTTTAGAAAAATTATTCTCATATACAAAGTTCTCAGAAAGTTCGCTGATTCTTTCCAGAGATTCAATCAGTTAACAATTCTGTTTAGCAATGCTCCTGGTAAGAAACTTACAACTAAGGAATTTAAATCTAAATATTAACGGTAAAATCTTAGTCTCGCTATAAATAACATTAATAGGAGTAGAGTTCCTATAGCCCATAGCCAACCTTAGACATTTTAATTGGATTTTTTCTAATTTGTAAAATAAATCGGGGTTACACGGAGAAATTAAGAATCCTCCGTATTCGATTCTTGATTTTATTAAAGAGTATATAAAGAGTTGTATAAAGTAATCATTGTGGAGGGGTCAGATCCCCCCCACGCCCCCCTGATACAGCTGAGGATTCTTATAGGGATCTCACATTTTTTAATAATATTATTTACACGGCCGCCCCAGTTAAGGCGTTTGTCGAGAACCATTCCGAGAAACTTGACTTGAGGTGATGGAACAATATTTGTATTTTCAATTTTAATGTGTAAATTATTTAATTTGATATTAGATCTGTTAAAAATAACTAGTTTACATATATCTTTCTGGAGCTAGCTGGAGTTTTCTGCTGGAAAAAGCATTCGATAGAGATTTAATTTGGCATTCTAGTGTAATGAGGCCTGTCCTCACTTGAGAGCCGGAAGTAAACAACACTAGATCGTCAGTAAATTTTAAGATTTTAGTCTCAGGCTCTATTATGTTATCAATTTTGTTAATATAAATTAAAAATAGAATAGAACTTAAAATGCTACCCTGAGGCAAACCCTTAAAGGTAGGACGAGTAATGTTTCCAGGACAGTTAATAAACTGGGTATATCTGACAGAGATCAGATTATATATCTATAAATACTATAAGGTTTTTAGGTAAGTTTAATTCGATAAGATCTTTGATCAAAATATCAGGATCGACATTATCGTATGCACCTTTGATATCCAAGAATATTGCAGCTAGATGATTTTTTAGATAGAATTGTTTGTCAGTTTCAGCTATAAGGAGAGCGAGACTATCGATGCAAGACTTATTCATTCTGAAACCAAAGAGTTGTTTATTAATTTATTATATTAAATCCACCAAGAGAGTCTTTCATTGATCATCTTTTCAAGGAGTTTTAAGAAGCAAGAAGACATGCTAATTGGTCTGACTTTGTTACTATTTGCCTTGGGAATAAATAAGCAAAGATAATTGCTCCATGAATCCGGGAAAACGCCCGTGAAAATTATGTCGTTGTATATATCCAAAAGAGTCCTCTTAACAAATTCCGGGAGCTCATTAATAATAATAAAATTTATTTTATCCGAACCAGGAGCTGATTTTAAGTTAACATTTTTTAAAGCAATGGACATCTCCGAATAATCGAAGGGAATATTGAGAGGATGGTTATTCTGAGTATGGTGATCAAGTGAGGGAATATTGAAAGGCGTTCCAGGGGAACATATCTCGTCGATGGATTTATTCATGGAGTCAATAAGAGCTTGATTTCCCTTGTAAGAACTAGGTTTAGAGAACTTGTTATTAAAGCATTTAATCTTATTAAATACATAGCTCGACCTACTATTTTTATTAAGAGACTCACAGAATTTTAAGAATGATTTTTTCTTTTCAGATTTCAAGATAACTTTCGTCTGCGCCTCTAATTTTTTATATTCTAAATATTCATTCCTGGTGAATTTATATTGCAGGGACAATCATTTAGCCTTCTTAACTCTCACAGCTTTCTCACAAGTCTTATTCCACCATATTGTAGGGATTCTATTCTTGCTCTTTTGTTTATATTATAAGGGCATTGCCCTTATTTCATTATATTAGTTGTTTAATACTTATTGAGCCTTATCATAAATATTTAATTTACGCGGGCGAAATCAATGCGTTTAAATTTCAAGTAAATTAAGGGGACGTTATTTCAGTTTAGAGTTGCGTTTCAAGACCGAAGATAGTTCGGCGCGCAATTTGGGGGGAATTTTCAGATAGAGTTGCGTTTCAAGACCGACGATTGTTCGGCGCGCAAGTTGGGGGGGGGGGGGAAGGGAATACATATACATATATTACTTTGAATAATATATTGCGAAGAATGTTGCTACGTCGACCCGCCATCAGAGGTCTATAGATATTCGCTAAGATTCTCGCAAGTGCTTTGATACGCGTATATCTGTATATATAGAATCTCGATTTAACAATTAAAACAGGCGTCTAAGGTAGGCTTCCACTACAATGCCTTACTGATGACTCCAGTAGTGGAAGTTGGGACGAAACGCCATAATTACGTGATATTCTTCGCAATATATTAGATTGATTTAAAGATTTTAATGAAAATTGGCTCATTGCCCTTATTTCATTATATTAGTTGTTTAATACTTATTGAGCCTTATCATAAATATCTAGAATATAACCTTTATTTTCCATAGCCAAATTCTCACAGGCCATTAATCGTTCGACTTCTAATTCTTTATGATGAGAGGGACAGCTTTTATCCGTTGAGATGTAATCTCCCTTACAGTTAGCGCATTTGGGAGTACTTGATAAGCATTTCTCGTAGTGTTTTAACTCTCCACACATACTACATTTAGGGTTGAATTATACTGGCCGTAATCTGTTAACTTATGACGTAATCTGTAAAAATTGACCAATCACAGTTGAATGAGAGGGGAATAATCGATTATAATTGGTCAATTTTTACAGATTACAGCATAAGTTAACAGATTACGGCCAGTATAATCCAACCCTTAGCCTCTCCTCGACAATTTGAACTAGAATGTCCCATTTTGAATGTCAAAAAGTAATGTGACATGACACTGCGAGTGTCCTCTGACAGATTTTCTAAGTACTTATTGACTTGCCCTCTTAAGCTTAATGAGAAAGCAGTTGCTTGATATCTGCTGTAACGACATTATCAAGTTTTCTGGCATACTGCTGGCATACTGTTTACATTTTGCTATCTGGGAATCTTCATTGTAGCAAAGAATTAGTTGCTCTAATAATTCAAGTTAATTAATACAATGAATTCTGATAAATATATGGTTTTTATTGAAAAATTAAAAGAATACAATTTAAATTAAACTGGATTGTATATATACAATCAAAACACCATAATTAGGTTAGGTTCTTATTTTGCGATCTGCGATCCTCTGCATGCTATTATGTGTACAAATTAGTTCGGTCCGCTTTTTGTGTTCAAAAATGCGTTTATTCCAAAACAAAATGAATGAACAGATTAATTAAAGTATTGTCCATCGCTGGCTACTATTTTTTCCCATCTCTCAGACAATTTTCGAATTCCATCTCGAAAAAATGACTCATCTTTGGAGGTGATCATTTTTTGGAAAACGGGCCGAACTAATTTGTACTTCCAATATATGATAATCCGGCTTTAGAACATATTGAGAATCTAAGAACGGGTTCACCAATTCGCGTTACAATATATTATGCACAATATTTATGCACAGAGTCGCCAATATTCTCGAAATATACGATTAGATAGCACCCGAACCTAAACGCGTCCGCAGTGGGCGAATGGTTCTCAGAACTCTGTCTTCAAACAATAGAAGAAAGCATGATAAATCGTACAGCAAGCACAGTACGCTGTGCGCTGCGGTCACGGTGCCATGATTCATTTCAGTTATCATAAATATTATTAACGTATCCCTCCGTCGGCGAAATCTTCACACTTTACCCGCAATCCTTTTCTTTAGTACAGCACCAATTTTTTAATTAAAATTATTAAAACATGTATTGCAAATGTAAATTATTTATTTCAATTGAACTAATTTTTTGCAATAGCAATAAGACTAACAAAGGTGAGTTTTTTCTATGAGCGTACTGATAAATGCTTACAGACATAATTTATTTGTTAAATCACTAAATTTTCTTAGTTACAAATGTTAATTTCGCGCAGCAAACTATAGTTTTGCTGAATCAGCGAATCTATTTTTTTCCGTGATCATAAAATTTTAAATCTCTCGTCTGACCTGTCGCGAGCTGGCGCTTTCTCTGTTATCGTAATCGAAAGGTGGCTTTTTAGACCAAAGAGTGAAGCCAATCATTGAGTAGGTCAGTAATACAACGAGACCTAAACACACAATAAGAAAACAAAAGAAAGAACAAAAACAAATAATGTTATTAAGTACGTGTTTCAATCACGTGTTTGTGTAAGAATGTACAAAAATAAAATATAATATTAGTATATTATGCAATAAGTGCGCGAAGATAACTTTACCGCACTAGCGGCGAACGCTGCGCACGAGTCGCCGCAGGCGACGAGTGCGCTTGCGTTCGATGTAAGTGCGGTAACGTCGCGCACGAATTGCTTACGATATTTTATGCGGTTCGGTGAGCGAGGTGCCTTCGCGCACGACTAACTACTTCGCGCATACCAACCCCGTAAAATGAACTTCTCGACGTTAAAATTAGTGCGCGAAGGCACACTTTGCGCACAGAATTGCATAAAATATAATAAAAATGCTCTTGTTTAATAAAAATAACGAGTTAGTATCAGTTTAATCGCTTTCACTCAGAAACATGTGTACAGAAGTAACTGAAATAATAACCCAGTATAT